CCCGCGAACTTCTAAATCCCCGTGTGGATGTTTCCCGCGAACTTCAAATCCCTGCGTCGGTGTTTACATCGAAATTCAAATCCTTTCCTTTGGGAGTCTCGGTGTTACCAACGAGTTCATCATTCTCATTAATTGGTAGGAATGACTCTGTGTAACCTTCAATTAGATTATACGGTACATCCAGGGTCAACACTACACGCTTTGAATGCATGTTCAGTCCACGGGTCGACTCTACATGATCCTGATTTCTGACGTCATTTATCGTTTTGCTGTATGACGCAGCAGTTCCGGTAGAGCGAATGTCAACACCACGGCTGTTTACAATAAGCTCTGGGTATGAAGTCTCGTTAAATCCTTTACTGTGCCGTATAGAGTGTCCGGTGGTGTGCTTCTGGATTGTCCTGGAGTCTCGAAAGCTGCCTCCGACCGTTTCACTTTTACCAGTTCGACTCGACTCATGCGTCGCTGAAACACTTTGTTTAGCGTAACTTTTAACATTGTGTACAACCCCACTTGAACTGGTGTTGAACATACTCCCTGAACTTAAGATGGCGTCACTTGCCTTGTTTTCGTTGACAGCCCCAGAGAAGCGGTAGCTCTGACTCGAACCCGAGTCGTTGAGACCAGCACTATGTCGTGAGCTGTCACTTTGTCCCTGATGGTCTATCGCGCGACTACTGCGCCACATATTACCAGACTTCGTGTCACTCACCGCATTCCCAAAGGAAAACGAATTCGACTTGGATACGTGACAAAATCCACCTGCATGTGAGAATTTATTACCCTGACTACTTTCCGATTTTGAGGCACCATTTCTCATGATTTTGCTATTCCGTCTCTCACAGTATCCTTTCGAGTTACGGAAAGAGTCCCCGACGGATTGGTCAATAAGACCCTTGGTATGATATGACACCTCACTGTTCCCTTGATCACGCATAGGTTTTTCGTGCTCAAAGCTGTCACCTTTGGAAATGTTATTCATCGACGTTTTAAAGGCGGGGCTGCTGAGGGTTTTCGAACTTTTATTATAAGCCCGTGTACTCGACGAGGTTACAGTTTTACTGGTATCGGAGACGAAGTTCTCCAGTTTGTGTGAGTCTGTCTTCGATATGTCCGTGCTATCTCTATTTCCTCTGCTTGACTTTACATTAGATACGTTGTTGAAGGCCCGACTACTTCTTAAATTGTCCCCACCATTGTCGACGAATGTCGAACCTCCATCGGACTGCCCGGATACTGTAGATCTGGCTACATGATGTAACTCCAACATCTCGTTCTGTTTAGACATGCCCTTTAAAATGGCTGTGTCCACCACAGCCTTCGACTGCTGAGACGAGTCTATAGAGCTTGAGGAACCCATCAGGGAAGCGCCGGCTCCCAGGAATGTTAACGCCCGTCTTTGATACCGACATGCACTCGTTTTGTGTCATGTCTGACAGGAACCATCGCCTCGGAGGCCCAGGTGGCACATCGCATAGCCAATATCCTTTACGACACGATCAACAAGGAACCAAACGTCCATTCCTAACGCTAGGTCCGTTTATATTCATAATAATAAAATTCCAACAGGCTCTGTACTAGTGTAAATGGTTATCGATCCAGCAGTGTATGTAATGTTTAAATATAGAACCCGCATGTGCCGGAAAGTGGAAAACACTCATTCCTTTATGAAAAACACCATGTTCGTAGTCCGTGGAATGATTCTGCCCTTTCATTCCCGATTATTACAAAACTCAACACACCAGTAACTAGCACTCGGTAGTATTGGTGGTACCTACCAAAGTGTAGATTTCCTGTCTGCTGTTGTGTGTGTATATTCCAGCTGTTCTGTCAGTATAGCGTACGTGTGTTTTCGGGCGAAACAAATGTAGTATACACTTACTGGTATTTATACTACAAACAGGACCGGGCAGGATAACTTCGAAATATGTTTATGTATATCGCTTAGGTAGAAACAATTAAAGGAACAGATCGTATGCTTAATGTATAACGCATACAGTGAAGTGATTCTTTTACGTTAGGTCATTTTTCCCATTGGATTCTATCATTATATACATTTCTAAAATTGATATTCTGGTTTCTTTTTTAGTCAAAAACTGATTAATTATGGCACACAGCTGGGTAATTTATCTAGCGCTGATAACGGTGTACTGCTTATATTAACATCATTATCTGTGTCATAGAATACAGCAGAAATTGTGTACATGTATATGGGAATGACGCTGCGTTGAAAAGTGGTATCTCAATAACAATGCTACCGATAAATACATAAATATTACCAGGAGAAACACTTGATAATTGTGAACCAGAACGTAGTTTCTTCGAAATTGGATGTCAAACGAAGTCAACGTCTTGATTAGCAAACGTCATTATGGCCTTTATGGTTATAATAAAACCTTCCTGTTAAGTTTGAAATAAATCCATTGAAATTTACTCTAGGCATAGATCAGACACGGTTTCAGTAATTGAATAAAGGGGCATTACACAGCAAGTCACAATTTGAAAGTGATGGTTATCGAACTTGTCCAAGCTCTTATGGTAATTCACCTTCCTATGAAGTTAAAGGTATAGAGGGGACCCTGTTTCAGCAAATAAATAAAGGGGCATAACTCTGTAAATGACTGTTGGGTAATGGTGGTTATCAAATGGACACCATGTACGCCCCTCCCTGCAAGTGAAAGCAAAACGTTTTTAAATGGGTGTATACAAATCTTGTCACAAAGATCCTCAAGGGAAAAGTTATACGATAAGCAGATTTGACCTGGACTCTGAACATCGTTTAATAGTCTTAGGATTATTTTGGTTCGTTTGATTTTACGTTCTTGCAATATATCGCTAAAAGAGGCTTGCCGAAATAATAATTTGAAGAGAACAAGGTGCCAAGTGTTGCAATGCAGCTGATGTCCCCTTTATCAAAAGACACCTTGGAAAACGCTCCAATTCCGAGAGGGCCCCTCATTTGTCACCTTGTACATAAATGTAGAATAAGATGAACAACAGGTATTTATTTTACAAGACTGAATTAAGACCTTGTAGTGAAGACAGTGTGTTTACCAGAAATTAAATTTCATTTGTGACCTTGACCTTTCACCTTGAATTTCAACAGGCTTTTCGCTTTTCATGATCATTATTGTGAAAGGATAATCAACATGTGGTGCGATGATATGAAATGTTTTAATTTAATATACCAACCCCAGCAATACCCTCAGACAGTAGATTAGTGGAGGGGTTACAATTAATGATGTCAATCTGGACCGCTTTCCTTTATCCCCATTGGTTGAACAGGAGTTGTTTGTTTATGAAATAAGGTCAGACCTAATAGTAAGATGCTGTTGTCAGTTGAGCCTTGTCAAGGCCTTGATAAACATTTGCGAGTCCGTCCGGATTTATACCTGAAAATGTTGCATTTAGAAACAGACAAACCAGTTGTTTCACATAAACGAACAGGCCCCTGGATACTGTTAAGTGCACCTCGTTTTCAAAAAAATGATTTTTTGTAATCAGCGAGTTCAACAAGACAATTGTTTACATAAATGTATAAGAAACATCTTTGAAGAACACATAACATGTTGATTTGTCAGAGATCTTGGCCTATAAATAACTATAGCTGTAAAAATGAAACGCAACACATGACATCAATGATAGCACTTGTTTTATTCATCTTTTCCACCTGGGTGAATCAACAACCCTCACTTTTAATACACTACTATACTGATCTAGGTTTAAGTGTGAATATCAAAAACTTGTTATAATCAAATAGTCGGTTTATAACATCAAATGCTCAACAGTAAAGTACCTTTTCATTGACATGATCAGAAATTTCCCCCCCATTTAATTGTAATTTGTTAAAATACTGAAATGAAATGTTAACTGTGAACACACCTGTGCATTAAGATTTGGTTAATCCAATACAGACTAAAGACATGATTTCAGTCAAAAGACTTAAGGATTAGAACACTAACATTGTACATACAAAGTCGCTTTTTCTTCAGCTCACTAAATGTATAGAAACCCGTGGTCTTGTAAAGAATATTTTGAACAGACAAAACGTATATGTGCAAGAAATAAAATGAACTAAATTGGATTGATCCACCATAGATGAAATAGATGTATATAAAAAATAAATATGGTCCATCATTAAACAAAAATTGGACTATGCAGTGAAACAGTTTCAATCAATAGTAAATGATGTTACAATTCATTATCTCGCAGTCGATGAAGATTTCTTAATACAGATCAAAACGTTCACTACAGTCATTTCAGGTTTACTAGGTATCATCTTTAATCAACAGGTGATTTTAATAGTACTAATGTGCCAGGATAGAAAAAAAATATCATTTGAAGCCGATTAAGAATTGCAGCCTTTCCTGATTCAGTGTTTTAAATAAACACCAAGCAAATATTGAACCAACATCTTTTGCCACTATGTAGCCTAAAACGACTTTTCTGCTCTGCAATAATTAACCTTCACCCAACACCAATGCGATTTGCACCAAAGATATCCTGTACATTATAGTATGAAGCAAAAACACAGCAAGTGTGTGTTCTAAATCAATGTACACGTATTAAGATATTCAACAAAATCTTATACATCATTTTACTCTAAATTCGTATTTAAATTTGTCACTATATTATTTTCGACGCCTGATATAATCATTAAGATATAATCATTAAGCCAAACTGATATTTATGCTGTATTAAAAACTAGAAACACGATTGTTCAGTGTAAAAGGGAAATTCTTTAATAATTAAAAAAAGTGAACCAGAAGAGTTATTTTATAATAACCTCAAAATATCTTTTATACCTGCTGAAATGCATATTTATATCCGAGCTGCATTTTTCTCTAAATCTCCTGTGCATAGAAGCAAGGCTTACAGGAGACTGTACAGTGAGCCACCACGGTACCAGAGCCTGAGATCAGCTGCCTTACAGCACATTGCAGCCAGGGGTATTCCTGCTGGAGGTAGAGACCATCATTCCAGATTCCAATATCAAAGTCTCTATCATTATCACACTGTCCATGGTGCCACGTGCATCTAACTTAACCAATGCAAAGTCCAGAAAAGTTCCACCATGTTTTAGTAAACACTTACAAATCATGTCTTTTCATGATTTTAACATAACTTAATCTTCCTCGGGGGCAGCATTCTGGGCCATAGACTTTCCTGCCTTTTTCTTCTTCTTCTTAGCTGCCTTCCGTGATGCTGACTGGGCAAGGAGTGCCTACAAAAACATCATATACAGTTCACACATCCACACTTCTAACCAAAAGTCAAAACAAAATTAAGTAACATCTTTTTCAACACTGAAGTTCCATAATACTATGTCATGTTTTCGTCTCACAACATAATGCCACATAAAGAAATACATATAGTGAAAATAACAGCTCTCCTGGTTTTCTCTGTGACCCCAAAATAGTTCTACACTGCTGATCTGTACAATGCCAGGTTTAAAATTCACTGGCTCATTTTGTGCCCTGGACTTATAACGGTGTATACATAAAAGCAGCTACCTTGAGTTCTTCATCCTCCACGGTTTTGTCTGTCTGGTATAAGTCACTGTCAAATGGCATCCCCGTCAACTTGAGGGGACCATTGGGCATCAGTACCATTGTGTATTTGAACTGGGCAACATATTCACCTACAACATACAGAGCAAATTGATTCCCTTATGAAGGCAATTTTTCAGTAGAACACATAATAGCATGCCAAATCAATTAAAATGTTTAGGGCTTTTCGGGCTTTTCCATGATTTATGAAGTGGAGGATGGGGGGTACTTGAATTCATATATTATTGGTGGGGAGGTAAAATACAGATGCCTATATATATAGCTACCATTCCTTATATTACATCACTTTAAGCATTTATGAATGGTGGGGTCTCTGAAAAAGTGCCTCCAATCCCTCCCCTACTGTTAATTCTGGAACAGCTCTTTAAGAAATTTGACAGTTTATTTTATCAACACATGCAACCTATCAAAACATAGCTTTGAAGCATTTATTTCCAAAAAAAATAAACCTTAAAAAAAGCTCTTCCTACACACATTTCATACTGGCCTGGAACCCTGTTATGTTACATAAAAATTGGACGATACTGCTTAAAATATTGTAGAAGAAATACCCCAAAGCAATTTTCCCCTAAAGTGAGGCGAGGGGTCAAAATGAAAGTTATATTTGGGTCTCAACATTTCATCTTCTCTAGATGTACCCCTGTAACAAAGATTGATGATCTATCTTGAATAAGGAATGACCTTCATTTTGACAGCGTATACAGTTGTATGAATGCCGTTGGCAATGAACATAGTCTATGGTGTACGTTAACCGACTGAGCAGATAGTGACTAATAGCCATGCTATGAAGTTCAGGTCCAGAAAGTCTAGATGATATAGGAATTCTAGTCAACTCACCATCTCTCTCATAAAGTACAGCAAACGGCTGCATTAGTTCATGCTTAACACATTCCACAACTCCCATCTTGGCTTTCTTCTCATCCTCTGACAACCTGCAAGTATGAATAGACACAACTTGTTTCTTTCTCTTGCACAAAATTTCCATTTCTATATGGCCAATATGACACAGACTGTAGCTAGCTCCTTCAACAAGATAACAAATTCAAGCCAACTAGTGGGACACTATTCACTGTCATAAATAAATATTATAAACTAACATTTTTATTCCATTGGTTTTATGTCCCACCAAATTTTGTATAGAATACTTTTTTGTGCTGACGGCCTTTGTTTTGTAAACTTTTTTTTTACTGACAAGCTTTGTTTTATACGTCATTTTTTTTAACAAACAGGTAAGCTAAAAATGGTGAATCAACATTGCAAATTGAAGTATAAACTTATCCGAGGTATTCTTATACTTAACCTTTCTTTATTATAAAGCTTGATCAAAGTTCAAAACCTATTAAGGAATGAAATGACAAATTTCTATAAATAGTGTAGAGTGATTGTGGCCATAACTTTGGAACCCTAAAACAGGGACTATCCAAGGTATAGCTATAGATCTAGAGATGACCTTGAATTGGGGACAAACACAATAGCCATGGTTACATTATATGCCCCACTTGCCTATAAAATGCCAGCAAAAAAACATTTTGAGATACTTACCTTAATGTAAAAGGCATGAGACCAAATCTTTTGTCTACTTCGCTTAAAAATTCTGTAATTAAAGATGAAAAGCTTTAATGAACAACTGTAATGGAACCAAAATCTTTTCACTGCTTTTATTGAAAAAAAAACCCCACCTTATACAGAAATGTCTGGTTTCTTCGACAGTTAATTATATCAAGATAAATGACACCAGTTGAACTAGTTTAGAAGAAATTCACCATCAAACTTCTGGGACAGAACGACCTAATAAGGAAGGACAGGGTGCAAACGAAAGTCCACTCCGAGTCTCCAGTATTACTTATGGGACATTAAAAAACATTTGAAGGTTGCAATGTATCAAAGATTATGTTATCTAGCCACATGTAATAAATACATTCAGATTTATCGTGTTCTTCACGAAAATCTAAGAAATGTGTTTATATTACCGTAAAAACCCATGTAATTTGCGCACCTTTTTTCCCAGAAATTTAATACCCAAAGTGGGGGGTGCGTAAAATACACAGG